ACGGGCGAGTCAGCTGATGAGATAAACAAACACGTCTAGATTGCGGACAGTCCCCAGGAGCAGTTCTCGTCGGACATGGAGGCTCAGAAGTATGCTGGGAGCATTCAGCTTCCAGATACTGATGTTGTGTTTAGGAATATAAAGAATGCCAAGCGCTTTGCCATTGACATAGGTAAGAAGCCCCGGAGGCATATTTCACCTGTTTGACTGTGTGACTGTGAATATATTAGGCATATTCCGTAAGGAGCTCAAGATCGGGACGTCGAGAAAGAAATATATTGTACTATAATTCAAAGATTTTAGTAAGAGGAGGTGATCAAAATCTGTATACAATCCAACACTGACACAGAAAGAAAGAAATAACTTCCTGGCATAAGCCAAAACGGACATCAAAGTCTACTGATCAGTCAAGGGTGCAGAGAGAAAGCAAGCATAAGAAATTATCATTGTAAAATACACATGTAAATGTTATTTCATCTCATAGATAAACATTACTTTTTCATCAGACATAATGCTATCACTATTGCCACCGAGGTTCAGTCTGGCAGTTCCTAGATTGGTCTTAAAAGGCAAAAAGTTACTCTGTGTATAAGTGGGAAATGTGCTGAGCTGTAGTGATTATCACTTTCTACTCCTGCAGATATGAATGGAAATTATGATAAATAGAAATGTGCCTGATGCTTAAACCCTGGCAGAAAAGTGAAAGTATCTTGTTTTCTTTGGTTATAACAAAGTAGGGTGTTTGTTTTACTCATATATTATATTTGATTTGTGATTGGGAAAATCTTCCATGTCCAATGGACAAATCTTGTGATGATATCTTAGATATGCTTTTGTATATGTATTTGAAATATGATTATTTTTAGAAAATGTTTAGATTATGCTTCTCTGTTTCTTTCTCTCATATAATCATGATGTAATGTCAAATGATTGTTTTAATCTGGATTTCATGCTCTGGCAAAGGCTGACAAACCCTCTGGCAAGATTGAGCATAAAATCATTTATCATTTGAAGTTAAATTGTCAGGGAGATATACAAACTTGCTACAGTATACAAGTGGTCCCTTGTTGGCCTTTGCATGAGTGTTGACTGGCATATGGGGATATCTTCTAAACAGTAAAATATTGCATGTAAGCTAGATTTATAATATGTTATATAGATTTTAGAATGTGTGTTTTTAGGGATATGTCCTCTCTGTATTCCTTAAGAGTAATAAGATCTATTGTAATGACATTATAAATCTAAGCTTTCATTCAGTATATTTGTTATAAACTTAGATCAAAATAAACATTTTTTTGCAGCTAGTTTAATCTAGGTTACTATTGTTATTATATATATATTTAGATTATACTAATAGGTAAACATATGGTATTTTAGTTGTGAGAAGGGATGCATGTTTATCTTAGGCTTAACATTGATGATTTTATTTTTAGGGGGTTCGCTGACAAAGATAGCCTATTACTCTACAGTATCCCACAGGAAGGTCTTATACAATACAGAAAAGGAAGCAACAAATACTGTAAGTTTATTTTGTGTTTGTTGTCATAAGTTTAATGATTTGTTTTTATTATTTTTTAAGCTTCTATGCATACAGAGTGTCTATATTACATAAAAGTAAGGTATGGTTAATACTTTGGTTACTAGAAGGTTTAGTCACTCATTTACCCCCTCCCCCCAAAAAGGTCTTAATTATATTATCATTTGATAATTATTGTTTTCTATATTGGCTTGGAACACAGGTAGATGGCGATGATTATAAATACGAGAGTTCAGAGACTGAGCGTTTGCACTTTGTGAAATTTGAGACAAAATACATTGAACAATGTCTGAACTTCATCCGGGATCATCTGGTGAACAGCAAGGAGTCCATGGCAGGAAAGAGTATAAAGGCTACTGGTGGCGGAGCTTACAAATATGCTGACCTTATCTACGAGAAACTTGGCTTAGCGTAAGTATACACTGGTTGTTAAAATTGTGCGAGGCCTGACATGATAGATATTCATTTTTGTGATATATATATATATATATATATATACACAGAAATAACTCCATACATATCAGTCCAGACATGCATATCTATCAGGCAGATAGACAGATAACTATAAATCTGTCAGTTAAATAGACAGATATGCATTTATTTCTGCATTTATGTATATCTGTATATGTGAATATTCATTGGCATGGGCTTTGCACAATAATAACAAACCGGTTGTATATCCATAGTTATTTTCAGCTACGGTCTTTCAAATATAATAGATACTTTGTGGTCCTGGCCACCTTTGAAGTATTTACTGCAGAAATATGTATTCAAAAGAGTATCACATATTTTAACAAAAAAAGATACATAAATTTTTCATATTAGAAAAGATTGAAGGATAGATCAGTAAAACAACTTCGATTGATATCATTGTTTTTATTTCCTTGCAGTGTAGAAAAAGAAGATGAAATAGGAAGCCTTATAAAGGGATGTAATTTTTTGCTGCGTAACATCCCTGATGAG